ACAAGTCAAAATCTAAGTAAGTTAGAGCCTCAGGATAAATCCTGGAATTCAGAGTATCTCTCTAAATTCTATTTTAAAATCTCAGTAAATTATCAGAAATAATAATAACTTATACTAATTACCAGAGTTCAATTGTTTAAAATAAAGTAAAAAAAATTTTAAAAAGTAAGAATGAAAAAGTGGAAGAGGAGGAGGTGGTGGTCTGGAAAATACAAAACTATACTTTAATGTAAAAACTTTGAGGTCAAGCAATTCATGAAATTAATTTCTCTATAGTACAAAGATGTCATAAATTTCTTAAAATTTATTAATGAAGATTTAGTAGTTAAAAATAAACAAAATGTGATTGAAAGACAATTTTAAAAATAATCTGGTAATTTAAAGCAAAAAAATACATGGCAATGCAATATTTGTTTCAAATTTAATATATATTTTTCATCTCACTATCCTGATCAAACTTAAAATGCAATTACCAAATGCAGGCTTTTGGTCCTGTTTTATTTACAAACTGGAATTTAAAAGATATAATCAATAAATATATTTTGAATGATAACTCTTATTTCAAGCATGATACTCTAAATGTAACACGGAAAAATAAAATGCATAAATCACACAATACTCTTCCTTGTGAATGTATTATTAACTGTTCTATTATATTATTGTATGATGATATGTACCTTAGATAAATTGTGCACTATATTTATTTATATTATTATATAGCTATTGCTATAGAAACTTCTAAGTGTATATATTTTACATTAGATTTGTAAGTCTGTTATACACCAAATTTTAAGTCTATATTATAAACTATTTACTGTCTGGTGTCCTGAATGTCCCACAAATGATCATGATTTGAATTATTATACTATTGAAGCAGTACATCAGCACAGTACTTTGACTTTGTTTAAGAAAGAAAAGGTATTTATTACTTTTTAAAAATTAAGCATAAGCTGTTATCCATGTGCATGGCACTAATTTTACAATATTATATCTAAGTCTCAAAATATTAAGAGAAATAACTAATAAATTATTCTCCAAAAGATGATCATTTTTGGTAAATTATCACTACCAGTTTCATGGATACATTATTTAGATCCTCCTTACCATTAATTTTATTTTATGTACTTGTTGTTTCCATGTTTTTACATGGTGAGGTTATATGCTCATAATGCATTTGTGATCATGCCCACTTAATTTTTCATTTTTATATTTGATATTTGTGTATCCTTTTCTTGTTATTAATTCTCACCTGAGCTGAGATATTTTTCCCATTAATTTTTAGAGAGAGGGGAAATGAGGGGAGGGAGGTAGAGAGAGAGAGGTCTTGCAACCCAAATAAGTGCCCCATAACTGGGAATCAAACTTTTGACACTTCGGTGCACAAGCCAATGTTCTAACCATCCAGACAGACAGGCCAGAGTGATATTTATGTATCTTGATTTATATTATTTGCACAAATATAATTGAGACAGTTTTATCCCCATTGAGAATGATACTCTTTGTTTTAGAAAAGCTTATCTTTGTTTTATTTTCAAGTTCACTTTTGGTTTTAATTTTATTATGATCCTAATACTAGTGTTGAATATAAAGCACTCATGGAATATATATATTTTTTATTTATTTATTTATTTATTTATTTATTTTTAATATATTTTATTGATTTTTTTACAGAGAGGAAGAGAGAGGGATAGAGAGGGATAGAGAGATAGAAAAATCGATGAGAGAGAATCATCGATCAGCTGCCTCTTGCAAATCTCCCACTGGGGATGTGCTTGCAACCAAGGTAAATGCCATTGACCGGAATCGAACCTGGGACCTTTCAGTCTGCAGGCTGACACTCTATCCACTGAGCCAAACCGGTTTCGGCGGAATATATATATATTTTTAAAAAATATTTTATTGACTTTTTACAGAGAGAAAGGGAAAGGGATAGAAAGTTAGAAACATCAATGGGAAAGCAATATGGATCAGTTGCCTCCCACTGAGGATGTGCCTGCAACCAAGGTAAATGCCCTTGACTAGAATTGAACCCGGGACCCCTCAGTCTGCAGGCCACTGCTCTTTCCACTGAGCCAAACCAGTTAGGGGACTCATAGGATATCTAAAAAGTACCTTATCTCACCCTCAACTGCCCTCCCCTGCCTGCCTGATTGCCCATAACTGCCTCTGTCTTAGCCCCCCCCACCATCTCTTTGTCCAGAAGGAAGTTGGACATCCAGAAGAAGGCCAGTTGACCCAGTCTAATTAGCATATTACCCTTTGATTAGTATAGATATATTATATAGGATAGGATTGCTTAATTGGGGGGGAAATCCTTTTTCAGCAGGAGGAGATGCTCTTGCAGACAAAAACATAATCCCTATACCTGGACTGATAGCCAGCCATATGCACTATACCGCCAAACTGGTCATTAAAAAGTTGAACTGCTTTCTTACACATTACACCAAACCGCTGTTGCCCTTAAAACCCTTCCTCAGTTCCCATTTTAGGTTCTGCCTTCGCAGTCACCCAGATTTAGTTCTGATTGGTCAGTTTCTATGCCAGTCAGCGTCTCTGAGCCTATCTCTGGGCCTGATCAGAGAGGCAGGGCTGATTAGCTGTCCTAAGGAGGCCTGGAGATAAAGGCATGGAGGCTGGTGAAGTCCGTGGAGAAAGAGAGAACCAAGAGATGATCAACAGCTGCCACAGATCAGACCCTGCCTCTGTCTCCAAGCCTCTCTCAAGGCATGGTCTGCAGCCCCCTTGGTAATCTGCGGTGTCACTGTGCCTACAGTGGCAGCAGTCAGTGCTGGGCTGCAGCAACCCAGCACTGACTGCAGGACTGATTGCCAATGTTCTTTGAGCCTCTGGTAGTTTTGGGCCCTGGATTTTTATATAAGAGAATTGTCAAAAATCAAAGACAAAACTAATTTTGAAAGCATCATGAGAAAACAAAGTCATCACATACAAGGAAACTTCTATAAAGATAGTTGCAAAAACCCTCAAAAGAACATTAGCAAACTTACTTCAACAGTACATTAAAGTGATCATACACCATGATCAAGTTGAACTTACCACTGTGATGCAAGCATGGCTTAACATATATAAATAAATAAATATGATACACTGCTTTAACAAAATGAAGGATAAAAATCATATTATTGTCTCAATAGATACAGTAAACGAACATTTGACAGAATTCAACATCCCTTCATGATAAATACTCTCAACAACATAGGTATAGAAGGAGTGTACCTCCACATAAAAAAGTCCATTTATTACAAGTTTATAGCTATACTCAATAATAAAAAAAAGATGAAACATTTCCTTTTCAAGATCAGGAACAAGACAAAGGGCCTGCTTTTACCACTTCTATTCATCATAGTATTGGAACTCCTATCCAGAGAAGTTAGGCAAGAAAAAGGCATGGAACTCAAATGAAAGGAAGAAATAAAATTGTCCATTTTCAGATGATTTGATCCTAAATAGAAACAATTGTACACTCCACAGACAGCAAAGCAAACATAAACAAATGAGACTATAACAAACAGATATAAGCAACAAAATGAAAAGGCAACTTACAGAATGAAATAAAATATTTGTAAATCATATATCTTTTGAGGTTAATATTCAAAATAAATATGAAATTCAAGTCAATCCAATTAAAAAATGCATAAAAACATATAAATACAATTCAACAAAGAAGACATAGAAATAGCCAACAAGTATTTAAAGGGATAATCAACACCACTAATTATAAGTAAAATGAAAATCAAAACCACATAATATCACCTCACATCTGTTAGAATGACTCTTATCAAAAAGTCAAAAGATAATAAGTTTTGGCTGGAATGTGGAAAAAAGGGAAACCTTTGCCCTGTTGATGGGAATGTAATTCAGTAGAGCCATTATGAAAAACATTACAGAGGTTCCTGAGAAAATAAAAAATAGAACTACTATATGATCAGCAATCACACTTCTGGATATATATCCAAAGAAAATGATATCACTATATGGAAGAGATATCTACTTACCCATGTTCATTGCAGTATTATTCATAATAGTCAAGATATGGAAACAACTTACGTGCCATTAAGAGATAAATATTTTTTTAATGTGAGATATAAATAGGTAGATAATAGAATATTATTATAGACTAGAGGCTTGGTGCATGAAAATTCATGCATTGGAGGGGGGTTCTTCAGCCTCACCTGCCCCCTCTCAGTCCAGGAGCCCTCAGGGATAGGAGGCGACCCAGGGATCAGGGGAAGGCGATGCCCCATAACACCTCTGCTGCTGCCACTGCCAGCAGCACAAGCCTTGGTATGCCCTGGTTGCCTGAGACTTGGGTGGCTTGGGCATCTGGGCAGCCATCACCTGAGGCTTGCCTACTCCTCATGCCAGCCCTGCATGGCTGGGGGAAGGGCTGAGGAGACTGGGGGACTCTGGAGGCAGGCACCCCGGTGGGGCTAAGGGGATTGGATGCTGCCATCTTGTGGTCGTGGGCACCACCATCTTTGAGGGCAGGGCAGTCAATTATCATACCCCTCCTTATCGGCTGTGGGTGCTACCATCTTTGAGGGCAGGGCACTCTATTAGCATAGTCCCTCCTTATTGGCTATGGGCGCCACCATTTTTGTGATAATGTGAGGGTTAGTTAGCATATTCTCTCTTTATTAGATAGGATGGCATGTATAACAGAGTATATATAGGATACATATATACTGAAAAAGTGGGTAAGATGTTGGAAATAGTAGAGAGTAATAGGTAATATCAATTAGTAAAACTGTGAGCTTGATATATGTTTTATTATTGTTTTATTCAATATAATAAAGATCAAATTTAAAATAAAAAACAAATATTTAGATGACAAGATATGTGTTGTATGGAAAATACATGTATCTGTTGATAGTTTTATATTTAACCAAATGAACACACAGCATCACAACTTTTAGAACATAATAATGCTTATTGGTGGAGTGCACACCGCCAGTGAGGTGGAGTGCGCACTGCCAGTGAAGGGACCCCCGGAGGAAATGTACTCTGGGACCGTCTTCGGACGGTGTGGGAGTGCGGAGGCTGACATGAACCGGCTCCAGGATGACTATGACTCCTACTCGGTTGAAGAGCCTAGCGATGAGGAGCCGGCTTTGAGCAGTTCTGAAGATGAAGTGGATGTGTTTTTACATGGAACTCCTGACCAAAAACCAAAACTCATCAGAGAATGTCTTACTGGAGAAAGTGAATCTAGTGAAGATGAATTTGAAAAAGAAATGGAAGCTGAATTAAATTCTACCGTAAAAACAATGGAGGTCAAATTATCCTCCCTGGAAACAGGTTCGTCTTCAGGAAATGGGAAAGTTGGAACAGTTTCCACAAAGTACTATGATGATATATATTTTGATTCTGATTCTGAGGATGAAGACAAAACCGATACCATGGTTTTGGAATACAGAGGCCACGCCAACAACAACAGCCTGTTCCAAATAGTGATGCTGTCCTGAATTGCCCTGCCTGTATGACCACACTGTGTCTTGATTGTCAAAGGCATGTATCATACAAAACTCAGTATAGAGCAATGTTTGTGATGAATTGTTCTGTCAACAAAGAGGAGGTTCTAAGATATAAAATCCCAGAGAACAGGAAGAAAAAGCGAGGCCATAAGAAGATGCAGGCTAACCAGGAAGATGTTGCAAGGCAGGCAGAGACAGAAGTGGGAGAGATCTATCACCCCGTTATGTGCATCGAATATTCCACCGAAGTGGCCGTCTATGACAAGGATGAAGTCTTCCACTTTCTCAATGTTTTGGCAAGCCATTCCTAAATAGCTAAGTTTGCATTAAAGTGCCCAATAGTGTATATAAGGCAAATATAACAGTTACTTTCCTCCTGCCTATTTATATTATTGTAAGTGACATTCTGAGTGGAAGGAGTGTTTTATTTTTGAAAGAGAATGGTTACCAACCTTCACTTTTCCCCTTTCTTTAAAAAATTTCCCCCCAGCTCTGTTGAGACTGATTATTCATTCCCTTTTTGACGGACCTTGGAAACTTGGGGCTTTTCATTTATTAAAGCTCTTTAGAATTAAAGTGTTCTGGAGTTGTAAGTAAAAAAAAAAAAAAAATAATAATAATAATGCTTATAACTTTTAATCTATCAATCTCATATATTGGGATTATATATACATGTTTATTATCAATTTTTCTTAAATAATAAAAAATTAAAATTCATGTGATTTTCCAAAAATTATAATGCATTAATTCTATTATAAAACTAATTGTGCTAAAATTATTAATGTAGTATTTACAATATAATATAAATGGAGAAATTATAAGCCATCCATAACAACATTACAAAATAAATTTTTAATAAACATGACAATTTCATAAAAATAAATTAATAAAAAAACAGGATTAAAATACTATAGGGGGAGGAGCATGAAAATAAAAGGTGGGTTCAGTGTTAATTTTTTAAAATATATTTTTATTGATTTCAAAGAGGAAGAGAGAGATAGAAACAACAGTGATGAGAGAGAATCATTGATAGGCTGTCTCCTGCATGCCCCCAACTGGGGATGGACCCAGCAACCCACACATGTGCCTTTGACTGAAATCAAACCTGAGAACCTTCAGTACGCAGGCCAATCAATGCTCTATCCACTGAGCCAAACCAGCGAGGGTGGTACCATTTTAATTTTAAGGAGTTTCATGTTATTACGTTTTAATAAAATGAGTACATTTCTAAAAATAAATGATACTGTGTTTGTCCAAGTTCTCTAAGGAAACAGAGAGATTTTAAAAATGGCTCTCACAACTATGGCTACTGACAAATCCAAATCTGGAGGTGGGCCATTAGTCTGGAGACCCAAGAGAGCTGATGCTCTAATTTGAGTCTAAAGTCAGTCCAGGAAGGTCTGACATTGCAGATCAAGTCCAAAGGCAGTTAGCCAGATAATTCTCTCTTGCTTAGGGGAAGCCAGTATTCAGGCCTCAACCAACTAGACAAGGCTCACCCATATCATCAAAGCAATCTGCTTAACTTAAAATTCACCAATTTAAGTGTTAATCTCACCCAAAACATTCCCAATGAATTACCAAGAACAATGTTTGACCAAATATCTAGGCACCCTGTGGTCCAGCATAGTAGACCCATCACTGCTACTACCGTGTTTCCCGGAAAATAAGACATCCTCCGAAAATAAGACCTAGCACATGGAAAGATAAGACATCTGAAAAAAAGACCTAGTGCAACTTTGGGAGAAAAAATTAATATAAGACACTGTCTTATTTTCAGGGAAACAGGGTACTTGGCCAGGAAAACACATCCATCTATCACCTGAATAATAGGGGAGCAGAATTAAAGCTTCTCTATGGTGGTCACCTTGTGAAAGGTCAGAGCTGAGAAGAAAATCAGATCTGTGTAAGGATTCCAATATTGAAAAATAAAATATTAGTAAAAATATTTGTCAAGATCTTAAATGGTATCCCAATTTAAGGTGTCTTTTCATGGAAAAGGATGGAGAATGATAGATGGTCAGAGAGAACACATCACTGTTGTCACGGGGGACACTTTGAAAGGTAGACATTCTTCTGTCACTGGAAAATTAGATGATGGCTCTGAGGAAGGTGAGGTTTGATCTAAGACCACCACCAATGTCTGAATTTTCTTTCTTGCTTTTTCAGAAAAGAATAATCTAAAGGGAAAAGTGGTTATGTGATCAATTTTGGGAAGTCAGAGGATGCTGAAGTGAAAGTTTACATGTTATAAGTGAATATTCCCCTCACTCATTAATGCACAATAGTTTTGTATATTATTACTTTTTCTGTCCACATAAGGCCCACTAAATCATTTTATCTGGCCCTGTCAAGGTACTAGGGGTAAACTAATTAAATAATTGACCAAATATAGTAGGCTAATTTTTAAGTTCATAATTCTGTATGGCCTGTGAATAATGTTATAAATATTCAAATAACCCTTGGCAGAAAAAAAAATGTTCCTTAATCCTGCATTAAAGAATGAAGAAGATTACTGACTTACAATCAATAAGATGGTGATTCATTTCATACTTTGTTTTTCAATTGTAATAAAAGTCAACCATTACATTTATTTAGACCCAAAATAGTTTTCTTCCTTTTATCTATCTTCTTATGATGGACTAGAGGCCTGGTGCACAAATTCATGCACCAGTGAAGTCCCTTGGCCTGGCCTGTGGGATAGGGCTGAAAAAAACCTCTCTGACATCCCCTAAGAAGTCCAGGATTGCGAGAGGGTGCAGGCCCCACCAATGCATGCTCAGGGCCAGTGAGAGACGAGGTAAGTTGGCCAGCCAGGGAAGGACCGTGGGAGGGCTCCAGGGTGTATCTAGCCTGTCTTGCTCAGTCCCAATCAACCACACCCCAGCAGCAAGCTAAGCTACCAGTTGGAGCATCTGCCTCCTGGTGGTCAGTGCACGTCACAGTGAACAGGTGAACAGCCTTAGTATATCATTAGCATATTATGATTGGTTGAACAGCTGACCAGACAATTAGACACTTAGCATATTAGGCTTTTGTTATATAGGATACTTTTTTTTTTTTTTAAGTTTTGATTTCCTATAGTTACTCAGCTAGAGATTGTCACAAGTGCCATTTCCTTCTTTCTGTTTTTCTCATTCTCATAGACTACATTGACACTGTGCTATTTTCCCTAAGATGTTTTTTTAATGGACATTACACTGGTAAATTTGGCAACAATAAGGCAAACAGCAGAGTTGGGAGAGAAATGGCTGTTTCTATTGCATGTTTTGGCAGAGATACAAACTTTAGATTTACTATCCCCAAATGCCTCATCTGACTCATTTTTATTATTTTTACAACACAGGAAGATGCTTTGGTATCCATAGGCCAAACTTTAATTTTCCATAACCCCTATCCCTAAGGCCTCTATGCTTGAGTTTGTCCTGATCCTTGAAGCTACTGAAAAATTCTTTAGTAAAATTATAATAAAAAGGACCTTAAAATACAAGTGGTACACACAATTGCTTCCTTTCCCTTGCTTCTGCTCCAATCTGTGCTTTAGGGATGCTTTCATTGCCAAATCCGGTGCCTTTGGAGTGGGTCCCCATAGGTTTCTGAGCTTTCCATTCCTGCTCTTTGAATAAATGAGACAGTTAGATTTGGCAGCACTTCGTCTTCATCTCCGAAGCCTCAGGGAATGAGAGTACCAGTCTCTTCCTGGTGTTAGCTTTTGAAGTCCTTTGTTTGTTTGGTTTTGTTTAAATATTGAAGATTTGGAATCAGAGGATGTGAGTTTAATTCTTTATACTACATTTTACTCTATAATTCTAGAAAAATCATTTATATTCTTAAATATATGTTTCCTAAACCATAATGAAATATTTCTTCCCTGGTTGGTGTGATGACAGAATAAAATAACACAGGTTGAAATGTTTCAAAAAGGGCAATAAAGAACATAAATGTAAAGTACTGCCAATGCCAATTCCATTATGATTAGAAAATAAAATTAGCTTGGTTTTCCTAAATAAAGAATAGTCATTAAATACTTGATTTCTGAAAATTTGATTTAATACGCATCTAAGTGCCCTTTATATGCTTGATGTCATATTTAAAAACAAACCAAAGGGTAATGTAGTCATGAAAGAACCCTGGTTCAGGTCACAGAATTTTATATGATATATTCGTATACTAGAGGCCTAGTGCATGAAATTTGTGCACTGGGGTTGGGGGCGGGTGCCTTTCAGCCTGGGCTGCACCCTCTTGCAGTCTGTGACCCCTAACTCATTACCAAGAGCCTGCTCACTGCTCCGTACCTCTCAGCTCGCTGTTCCTTAGTGCTGCTGTGGAGGCAGGAGAGGCTCCCACCACCACCAATGTGCTCGCCAGCCATGAGCCCAGCTTCTGGCTAAGCAGCACTCTGCCTGTGGGAGTGCACTGACCACCCCGGGGGCAGCTCCTGCTTTGAGCTTCTGCTCCCTGGTGGTCAGTGTGCAGCATAATGACCAGTCTTCTGCTGGCCATTCCACTGTTGAGTCAATTTGTATATTAGGGTTTTATTATATAAGATGTGTGTGTGTGTGTTTCTATATATATATATAACCACCAGTGATTATATTTCCTGATACAAAAAAAAGGTGTATGTGTCACTCAATTTCATCCCTCTAAAATCTCTATCCTTAGTAGAAGCCATATTATGTACTTCTGAAATTAAATTAAATTCAAACACAGTTAAATCTCAGGGACCCAATCTTATCAGAAACTTGAAGTTACTCATCTAAAGCAAAAAAGAAAAGAAAAAAAGAAATATATATAGTGTACATTTTAATCCTGTTAAAATGCACTGCATATATAAATATACCATGATATAAATAGGTTTATACTTTATAATTTATTAAAAAATAAAAGTGTATTGCAACAAGAAAATGGAGAAGCTTCTGAATTCAGAAAAACAAATCAAGAAAAGGACATTGGATTAAAAAAAGTTATCATAGAGTCAGAAAAAATACTAAGGGTTATTTATTCATATTTATAAACCTAAGGGCTTTGAGGATCATAGTTGTTTTAATTCACAGGTGTTACAAAAATTAAAAGTTTTTCATGTTAAATAAGCAACTGCAGCTCTAATGTGTCTTAGGAAGTGCTAAACATGCAATGCTTTTCGATTAACAGCGCTTCTCTTGCTGCAGGCACTGGGCTAAGTATTGAGGAAAACAATTTTACATTAAGTTGAATAAAAATATATTCTAAAAATGTAGATTATACATTAATTATAATATCATAACTATTAAGACATTACACAGTAGAGAGCCCACTATATCTGTTAGATGTGAACTCTGGAGATGCCAAGAAGAGACAACATTGAGTTGGTTTTGCAGCATAAATGTGACAGCACCTGGTGGTAATGAAGATGGGGGAATTCCAAAAGGAGGGAACATTATGTGATAAGGCAAAGAGATTGAAACTGCAGGTACCTTTAAGCAGCTCTATACTCAGGCTATATAGTTTGTGTGAGAGGTAGGAGAGCTCAAAACAAATAAAATTTTTGATGGCATGTGAAGGAGCTTGGGTTTTATTCTCAGTGTAATAAGGGATTCATAGTTAGGATTTCATCA